CAGTATTGCCAGCTGCTATTTCCAGTTATTTCCTGAAGGAGCTGTAATTCCCAGTATTGCCAGCTGCTATTTCCAGTTATTTCCTGAAGGAGCTGCAATTCCCAGTATTCCCAGTAGCTATTCCCAGTTATTTCCTGAAGTAGCTGCTCTTTCCAGTATTCCCAGCTGAGGTTCATAGTTCCTGAAGGAGCTGCTCTTCCCATGTGTCGTAGGAGAGGTTTGGAAGGTGCAGCACCTATCCATTCTGGAAGCCCGAAGCAGCTGTCAGGGAGAATAATCAGGGATTATTTGATTATTTCATTTTAGCTAAAAAATGCCAGGAGGGGTTTGTCAGGCAGCAGAGTTTTTCACATGCCAAATAAACAAACAAGGAACCAAAGCATGAAAGAATAGTTTGTTGAGGTTTCCTGGAAGGCCTGAGTTCAGGACTTAATGTACTCTATGTGTGTCCCTCGGATTACTGAGGCGGTTTGGTATCCAGTCCTACCACAGGGAAATGAATGGCTGTATTTTTCAGCCGGATGATCATGTGGCTGCTGTCACCCCTCTGGGAATGTAAAGATAGACTCTGGAGCCCAGCGTGGTAAAGAAGAGTCTTTATTTTGTTTCCCCACTCCAGCTCTGATCATGCAGAAGGTTTAAGGCATACATTGGGATGGTCTACTTTTCTGTGTTTGGCCCTAAAATTCCTGTCTTTCAGGATGCTTGAGTGTTATGTAAAGCTCTTATTTTTAAAATGTTCTCTGTATGAATCTGTTCCATCTTTAGTCATGACTTAGTGTTTTGTCTGTACACTAACTCTAGTTGGGTGTGTATTTGAAAATCTTGCAATTCCCTCAGTCTTAATTTTAATATACTTTTCAAACCACTGACAGACCTAAACCCAATTTAATGTTTGTTTTTCTCTGGCTACATTTTAGGTTTGAATTAAAATGAATACAGATACAACAACGTGTTTCACTGTTGAATAAGCACCAACCAAGGCAAGAACAAGGAAATGGAACAGATTATTGTTAACGTGCTGTGTGTTTGAAGGCTGTTGGATGATAAGCCTAATTTATGCAGCCATGCAGCTCATACAGAGGATGATACATCACAGTCGACCTCTGATCTCTTCATGGCATCTGACCCAGGAACCACAGTTTCATATATGTAACCATTTATTGCCAAACGGATGTTTTAACCTCTGTATTAAGAAAGTAGCACAATAAGGATGAGAAGTGTCACATACATCTTCGGTATGCCAATTTGAGACCCTGTAGAGATTTAAAACCTTTTTGTTAAGTTTTGTGGAAGTTAGTTTAAAAAACATGGAAAACGTGTGAATGAGACCCTCAGACTAGTGTCCTTCCCTCTTTAACATGTGTCACATCAGTCAACACTGTGAATTTCTGAATTTAGGACAGTCTGATTCAAACAGAATTGCTGCTTTAGCTGGACTTGAGGCGCCATCCATTTTCTAACTGATCATCCAATTCAGAGTCACAAGGAGC